TATTTATACTATAGTCGCACCGGTAGTGACGTCATGGCTGTCGTCAGTTTTTTTGACGCCTATTTATACAATTTAAATCGCATCATATGACCCCTTTAATATAGCAACAGTGCTGCTGACATTTAAAAAAAAAAAGTGATGATTATATACAAAAACGTTGTTGCATTGATAGGAGTTCAAACAAGTAGGTAAGATAAAACATGGCCAAAGGGGGATTCTTTACTACTTTCAGTACTTTTTTTTTACTACTTATTTTGTATACAGTATATGGAAGTTTGGATAGTCTGGGATATAGATTTTGTTTAACTTGAAATTAGTTCATATACCCAATTATATGAACTATATTATATTGTATTATTTTTATGTAAATGAAATGAGACCCAAATATATAGTATACTTTTGTTTTTAAATAAACCAAATAAAATTGCAACTGGAATGCCAGTTTTAACCATGCATTTCTGTTGTATGGAAATGGCAGCTTTGACATTTGTTCTGCTAGAAAAAAAAGGTATGATTTTTATGCATCAGAAGCGTGGGCTGGTGATGACAGGATGTAAATGTTCTGAGGAATGTGCAGCACGATTGGACTAGTCAAATTTAGACATGTTATTGAGTGATTTTTGCCATAGTGATTTAGACAATAATCACAATTTTTGTAATAATTTTTATCATATAACTTTTATTTTATTTATTCATTTATTTTTTGTTAGTGGAGCAATAGAGCATAATGGTTTAGATCTCTTGGGGGAATAGCTGAATTTTATGTGGGGTGTCTTAACCCCACTAAAAATAAAATATTGCAAATACAAAGCGTTTCTCAAATTTGGTTTCTCTTTCTGTCCAGCTTGTTTTCTACACGGTGATGAAGGCCCTTTACACACTCGGACACAGCCTCTCTCTCATCGCACTCATCACCGGCAGCACCATCCTCTGTCTGTTCAGGTCTGAAACGGAGCCTTAAATAGTTCCAGTAGTTGTGTCTGCTTTTTATTACTCTACACTTTGTATGGATGTATGAGCCTGCCTTATATTAATTGTAATTGTTGAATTTGGCAGGCTTCTGAATGACTATATTTAAAAAATTTTGGCATTGAGGATAAACATTATGCTTGGCGCTTGGTTTTTACCCGATAGTGTTTATCTAGCTGGAATGAAATTATTAATTGAAGAAGTTGTCTGGAGATGTGATGAATGGAACAGTGCTTAAGACTCTCTGCATTTTTCTCACAAACTAACCATAAGCACAATTAAAATAGAAAAGAGGCCATGTTTATTTACAGGTCTGTCTTGCTCCAACAGAAAACTCCACTGCACCAGGAACTACATCCATCTGAACCTGTTCTTCTCGTTCATACTGAGGGCCATCGCTGTGCTTGTCAAAGATGCCATTCTGTTTTCCCACGAGAATGTAGAATGTACAAAGCAGCCATCACTGGTGAGTGAATCCATCCATCCAGAAGATCCACAAGCAAATTAATATAATTTAATGTTGAAATGTACATTTATATTTAAAAAGTAAAAAAAAATAAAAAAAATAATTTAATTCAGAAAGGGATGGTTTAAATAAATCAAAAGTGACAGTAAAGACTTTTAATGTTTTCTATTTTAAGTAAATGCTGTTCTTTTGAACTTTCTATTCGTCAAAGAAACCAAAAAAATGTATCAAGATTTTCACATAAATATTAAGCAATTGCTTATAAACTCGTAATTCTGAGAAGAAAGGTCAGAATTGTGAGATATAAGCTCGCAATTACCTTTTTTATTTTTATTTCATGGCAGAAACCAAGAAAAAACAGAATTGTAAACTCAGAATTCTGAAATGTAAACTTGAATCTGTGAGAAAAAAGAATTCTGAGTTTATATCTCACAATTCTGAGAAACAAAGTCTGATTGTGTCAGCAATTCTCTCATTTTTTTATAAAAAAAATGGGTATGTCCTTCCATTGTTTCATGAGCATCAAATGAGCATATTAAATTAGCTGCTGAAAATTCAGCTTTGCCATCATAGAAACAAATTACCCTTTAAAATGTATAAAATATATATATATTTTTACTGTATTTTTGATCAAATTAATGTAGTGAACATAAGTTGCTTCTTTCAAAAACATTTCAAAATCTTACCGACCCCAAACTTTTGAAGAAACATTATTTTATAATTTCTGCTCAATTAGTGACACAAAAAGACATAAAAATAATCATTGCTTCTCAACACCATGTCAGTTAGTCTTCCATTGTTTGCTCAAACAAGTAATGCCATTCCCATTCCTCACAGCATTGGTTCAACCAGAAGTTGTCCTACCAGAAGCCTCAAACAAACAGAAATGTTTGTTCACCTACAAATGGTTTACTTTGAGCTGTCTGCATACATTAAAGTGGGATTTGAGATAGTATTCTAACATTGAAAAAATTACACACTTCACCTTTAAGGGTCTGAACTGAGCTAAGCCAGTTTCTTAAAACATGCATAGTCAACTAAACACATTTTATGCTTCATCGGTTTTAAAAGTTGGTTATTTCTGTCACTACAGACCCTAAAAACCCAAATCTGTACTCACGTTTGTTTGTCACAGTTTTTGGCATTTCTGAGACACATATAGCGCACATTGAAGTTCTCTGTGCTTGTGTTTAGATTGGTTGCAAGGCCAGCCTGATCATCTTCAACTACTTCATCATGGCAAACTTCTACTGGTTGCTGGTGGAAGGGCTTTACCTACATACTCTACTGATGGTCATCTTCTCTGAGAACAGACACTTCATCATTTACCTCCTCATTGGCTGGGGTAAGTCTTCATTAGAAACACTGACCTTTTTAAGCTGTTTCCGTTTTCCAAAACCAATTGTTACTTTTCAGAATCACTTTCTGTCTTTTAAAGCTCTTCATGTCAGTGTTTTCACCTATAAGCAGGTATTTGAGTAAATAAAGGATTATTTGAGTCTAAAGCCTAGAGATTTTCCACTTCCCACTGCATTTGATGCTTTAGCTTTCATCTTATCTGACACGAACACATGTGTGCATAGAAAATCATTTGAGAACACACACCTCTTCACGGTGTAGCATTGAATGTCTCTTCCTTAATTTATTCAAACACTTCTGAATAGATGTCACTCACTACTCAGAGGAAAAACAGCATAGGGAACTAGATGACGTGCCATCGGTCTTGTTCAGTCTGTTTGTCTTACATTATGTATTAGTATGTCTTTGTAGTTTGTTGTGTCCCTGGAGTTTCCAGGCGAGAGAAAGGAGAGCAGAATCTTCATTCATTTCTAGAGGACAGGCTTGGGTGTGGCTTGCTAGACTCATCATATCAACACCTCATTAAGCTTCTCTTTCATCATGACAGTGACAACTAACATGGCCTCTTTAATCATGTTCTGTTTACCAGCATTTCCTCTCCGGCTTTACTTGTGTTTAGAGATAGTGGCCCACATCCCAACAGGAAACTGAAGTAACAATTTCTCAGCAGGTGTCCGAGCAAAGATGCTATTTCCTAACATCACATTCTGTCTGTCTGTCTGTCTGTCTGTCTGTCTGTCTGTCTGTCTGTCCGTTCGTCCGTCCGTCTGTCCATCCGTCCGTCCGACTCTGTCTGTCTGTCTGTCCGTCTGACTCTGTCTGAAGCCTATATTTACATTGATTATGCATGCATGAATGAATGTGACCACTAAGTCTCTTGATATTTGATCATTCCCTCTTCTTCTTCCAGGATTCCCCACCGTGTTTGTGATTTCATGGATTGTGTGTAGGATTTACCTCGAGGACACAGGGTGAGTAGTTGAGCATAATCAGACAGTGACAGAGCTCACATGAGACTCTTAATAGCGGATATTTAAACCTGAGAGATTAAAATGAGGCAGAAGAAGATGAAACGCATTCCCATTTGCTACCACTGTTATGAAAGCACTTGTAACTCTTTGATGACTCCTCATAACAGATGCTGGGAGAGAAATGATGCCCCGATTCCCTGGCGGGTGATTAACTGGCCAATCATGGCATCTGTCATTGTGAGTATAACCTCACACCAGCTATTATAAACACTGAGACCAGCCTCATACTGTATGCATTATGTCAGGCAGTGAGGGATTCTGCCAGCAAAGCAGACACGGGGATGTGCTGAGTCTCACGAACAGTTTCCATGTCCTGGATGGGACGTGAGCGCAGGCATGTCAGGATGAGCGAGAAAACGCACTGTCACAAGTGCCTCTCTCAGCACACATGCCAAGACTCTCTCTTTTGTCCGCTGTGCCATTTCCATTTTGTAAACACTCACCTGCAAGAGATCAAATGTCTTTGGACAGCATGATGGCTGTGTTTGACAGCTTTGCTCGAACGCATCCAGGTCAAAATGTCCCTGTTCCTCAGCCCTCCAGAGCCTAGGAATGCAATAATAATAATAAAACATAAGTTTTTCTGGCAAACGTGCTCAGTTCTGGTGTGTTTAGATAACTCTCTCACAGAGCTCTGCACACTATGCTACTGTGTAACTACATTTCTCTGCTACCCAGAATGCCATGGTAGATGAAGCTTTGGCCAAGATGTTCTGTTTGTTTTGATTTAAGTTTTATGGCGGGATTAATTATGAGGAACAGAAACAAGTGGCCTCTTTTGTTTCTACTATCTGTCTGATGGATTCAAACAAGATGGAAATTGGAGATTATCAATTTACATTTGAAGTTATGCATTTGGCAGACTAAATCCAAAACAGCTTTTGGTGCGAGGCATACATTTTATTAACTTGAATGACATTAGTGTTTCTAGTGTCATTTTAAATGCCAGATCAACTCCTAAAAGGGATAATTCAGCCAAAAATGAACATTTTGTCATCATGTCATTCCAAACTGGTATGACTTACATCTGTGGAACATATTGAAGATACATTTGCCCATACAATGAACGTCACTGGTGTCAACACTGGATCTATTTGAGTTTCATTTTATGGACAAAATTCAAATCATATAGGTTTAGAATGACTTAAAAGGGTGAATAAATGGTGAGAATTTTCATTTTTGGTTCCTTTAAGACGTTGTGTCACAGTGTGTGCAATAATCCTGTAATCTGTTTCAAGTCTTACAGAATGTTTTGAGAAGTTCTTGTGTCAGATCCAGTCAACAGTGGTAATGTTTAGTCTGGATAATGTCATTGTATAAAAGAGGAATGATTTAAAATCTTTTTCTCTTCCCTTCTGTGTTCTACAGTTGAACTTTATTCTGTTCATCAGCATCATTCGAATCCTGGTCCAGAAACTGAGGTGTCCTGATGTCGGTGGAAACGATCAGTCCCAGTACAGGTATTGCAAATGAATGCCAACTAATATTTTATTCTGCAAACATGGCATCAGGCACCATGATTGAACCCTCTTACATGCTATTCAGGTCATAGCTGAGATCTCCCTTTTAAATTTACCAGGAGTTGCATTCTAGCATGAATTTCAGAAAATGGTTGGAAATGGATGGCTGCTGTCCATTTTTATCCAGGTCTTCCACTATCTATTGAGCATTGCTAAATGTGTATGCATTGAAATGGGGGTGAAATATTTATGCTGCGATTTGTAGCAATCTTGAGTTTTTATTCTGCTGAGAGTGGCACGTTCTGCGTTTGAGTGCCCTGTCGCTAATGCATGAGAGGCTGTGCTCTATTTGATGGCTCTCCCATGATGCGCTTTTCCCTTTGAGATTTCAGGTTGGAGCTCTCCATTGTGTGCTTGAAAATATACTGTCTATTTGACAAAAATTGCCATGCTATCATAACAGTAGGGGTCCCTCTCATCACTCCGTTCAAATCCTGTTACTCTTCTTTCTCTTTTCAGGAGGTTGGCCAAGTCCACACTTCTCTTGATCCCTCTGTTTGGCATCAACTATGTTGTTTTCGTTTACATCATAGAAGAAAATGGAGAGATGGAAAACTATAAAATATTCTTTGACCTTGGTCTGGGATCTTTTCAGGTGAGAATATGCCTAAATGTATGACTAGTGATTATATATATATCTTCTTAAACTTTCACAAAAGCTCCACAGTTTGAAGTCAGTAAGATTATTTAAGATAAACAATTAGATTTTAATTAATCTAGATTTAAAAAAAATTATATTCAGAATAAATGCTGCTTTTTTGAACTTTCTATTCATCAAAGTGTCTTGAAAAAATGTATCATGGTTTCTACAAAAATATTACACTGAAGACTGGAGTAATGGCTGAAAATTCAGCTTTGCTCTCATCGGAATTGTAAAATATTAATAATATAAATTAATATAAACAATGTTAATATAAACAGTTACTTTAAATTATAATACTGTAATTGAATTGTAATTTTATTTTAGTAATTTATTTTGTAATAATCACAATATCATTGCTTTTTGAATAACATTACAAAATCTTATCGACTCCAAACTTTAGAATGATTTGTGATGCTTTATCAGTGTTGTACCACATTAACTCTCTGTATTCCTTTCACAGGGCTTGGTGGTTGCGATTTTGTACTGTTTTTTGAATAGTGAGGTTAGTCTGCAATTTTATTGATCATTGATGCATCTCACTTTAGCTCTATTCCAAAACCTAGTGAGCTGCTTACTGCATCCTAACTGTAATAGAATCTCATAAGTTAGCAATTTAAAAAACTTTACATAAGCAGCAACACAAATAGTACTAAAAAAATACAAAAATACACCCACACATTGAGTAAAATAATTTTTGTTACACTGAACATTTTTGACAATGCTTTTGAGTATCAGATGACATTTTTATTTAAAATCAGCATTTTTGTTTTCACCCCATCTGCCATCCTTTATTTGCATTCTGGCATTGTCATCTCTATTAAGGATACATACAGTGCTTCCTTAGAATTTGGTCAAAACAAGCAATTTACTAGGCAGTATGATAAAGTTAGAACACTCTTAATTTCTGTGCATATGATGCCTTAAATGCCTCCTCAGGCAGCTCACTAGGTTTTGGAACAGAGCAGTGGTTTTCCTTCCTAGTTCAAATCAACATGAAATATTCACAACCTATTTTACTTCTGTAATGTGACATATTTCTGAGTGAAAAAGGATGTTGAAGGAGATAGACATGTAGGATGAATTTTTGGGGTCTTGCAAAAATTCCCTCTGTATGCACTCTAAAAAATGCTGGGTTGTTTCAAACCAATGTTGGGTCAAATATGGACTAACCGAACTGTTGGGTTAAAAAGTTAATTTAAAAATGTAACCAAAATTAAACCCAACAGTTGGGTTAGTCCATATTTGACCCAACATTGGGTTGAAACAACCCAGCATTTTTTAGAGTGTGACAAGTGATTAAAAGGAAAGGCATGAAAACAAGTTTTTTTCTGATGCAGAGCAAGTATAATTACATTTTGATGAAAGATTACAAACAAACATTTGTTATGTTTGCAATAATAGTGCCCTGAATCAATTAAAATAAAACTAGAAACATATTTTGAGCATAAATGGGTTCAATCTTGATTTCATGTCGACTTGCCACCCTGTGTGTTTCTGTGCTAAAGCTAATGCTAATGCTAATGGATGTTATACTTGGCTGCTTTGCAGGTCCAGAGCGAACTCAAGAGGAAGTGGCGGAGTTTGCGTTTAAAGCGTTACATCAGTCGTGACTATCGTCTACACAGTTCATCCATATCCCGGAACGGCACAGAAAACATGGCCCAATTCCATCGGAACTCCAGAGCCCAGTCTTTCCTACAGACCGAGACCACCGTGGTGTGAGACATCCAGAAGCAGCGCTATATGAATCACGCTCTTACTTCACCCCCCCCAGCTAACAACTCAGTATTTTTCAAAAGCTTTACGCTGAAGAGGATGAGGCTTCCTGAAGCATGAGATTGACATGCAGGAGACACGATAAGGATTCAGCATCTCTGAGGCACAGCGCTGTATTTCAGTAGGCCTATACAATGCAAAATCTTGCAAAATTTGCTATAAACCACCAAAATAGCACATTAAACCAAATCTCTGTGAGTGGGATAGTATTGGTGGCATTAAAAACTGCAATTCCGTTTTTTTTATTGAATGCAGATGACATATATATTGCTTTTTGTAAACTCTTTCATTGCATTAGGGTCAGATTATATAATAGTGTTATGTAAATGCTACTTAAGGCCCACAGCTATTTCCTTAGACGTTCATGGAGGAAATTGTGAAAAAAAATTTGAAAGTTGTTTTTAAATTGTATTTAGTATGTTTGTGCATTTGATTGGTACACTGAAAAAATGTGGTGTAGAAACAATTTTCAGTCAGAAATTGCTAGTAAATTTCACAATTATTACAAAGAAACCATGCTATCAACACATGAAAACTCACCAAGAAAGTGTCTTGGATGAATGCAAGAAGTGGGTCACCTCTATGCCAAACAAACTCAAATGTGAGGTTTTATAAAAGACATTACAGCCAGAGGTGTCCACACTAGCATGGGACTCATTTCAGAAGAATATGTCTTATTTCAGATACATGTAGAAACTGAAAAGACAGTCGTACACTCAAAAGAAAAGCGGTGATTGTAAGAAAAAGCAAAAATTATTGCACTGATATTGATCTGTTCTTGCATCTGCAACATTACATAATGCCACTTTGTCATTATTCGACCACTAGGATTTTTTTTCTTCATCTTTTATACCTTGAAGAAAAGCCACAGTATGAAAAAGCATGAACTGAGATACAAGATTATACTTTTTCCAAGATATGTATATAGCATGTGAATGTAATTCATTATGTGAGGAGATTCAGTATAGTCTTATGAATGAAATGACAAATATGTGGCATAAATATATAGTTTGCCCACAAAAAAAGATGTGTGATAAACCAAACCACGACTCGCTATTATTACTCCGCAAACTCTTTTATTTCATATCCCACTGATCAGTAATTTCAATAGAAGGTGTTGATGGCGTTTTTGATTATTTTTGCTTTTGTGTTGCTCTGCCTCACATTGTCAGGGAGGTTGGGGAATTGTACACTGCAATGAATCCTGCTGTCTGTGCTCTTTTCATTCAACTGAAAAACAGATAATTAATCCAGTAGACAGTTGGACGCTGATTTAGGTCAAGTGAACTGACAAAACAGCGAGTGTGAGGGCGTATGATAGTGACATTTCAGTGTGAGCTGTGCTTGGCAAACAGATTCTGGGAACTGCAGTCCAGAGACTTCACAATGGGTTGGAGAGGAGATCGAATCTCTTACAGCCAGGCCTGAAGAACGAGAGGTCCCCGGGACACCACGTGCGAGGTAGCATTCATTTAAAGTGACACAGATGCCATGGGCAGGGGCATTCAGCATCGTTATCAGAAGAAAAGATAAAGCTTTAATTAGAGCTGGCAGAAAGGAATTGTGGGTTGTTTGAATTAAATATTGAAGGAGGATGACAGTATGCCTTCATTTTGAAAGATGACCATGGTTTGTGAAGGATCTGCTGTGTTAGATGCATTTATGATGTAAAAAAATATGTTCAAACAGAGGCCATAATGTTGTGCACTTCTTGTTTATTATATTAACCATCTGCAATGTTTAATTGGAAAATTGTTCTCAGTTTTTGCAGTTCTTACATTTTTGCTGAATGTTTCTTGTAAACTGTATTGAGATTTTTCAGTAAATGTGAAAGTTGTTTTTAAATTGTATTTAGTATGTTTGTGCATTTGATTGGTACACTGAAAAAATGGTGTAGAAACAATTTTCAGTCAGAAATTGCTAGTAAATTTCACAATTATTACAAAGAAACCGTAACAGTGAATCAAATGCAAAATTTGAAGTAGAAAGACTAAAATGGTATTTTCTTGTAAAACGCACTCCAATAATCTTTATTTGCAATTGTGTAGTGACTCTTTTTTAGCACCATTAATGCAGCTGATTTAATTTTAATTTAATTTTCAGCACATATTCAGTTTATACTGCGCTAATTGAAATGATTCAATACGCCAAAATAATTTGCTAGTGCAATGTAGATAAGATTGGTAGGGTTTGTTTTTATGATCGTGGGTCTTGGGAATAATAAATGAGATGCTAAAAACAGACCAGTGAAATACGATTACACTTCTCCCTTGCCGATCAACAGATCAGCTTCACCATCAACACTGATGATATCACACACAGATGATGTTGTTTTGATTCATTTCCTGTTCTATTGCTGTCTGTTGTCTTATCGCCTTCCTGTATCCTCAAAAGGAGTGAACATGCTTCTCCTTGGAGGCACAGCAAAAAAGTAACAGGGAGTAACAACTCGTTTTCAGGCCGCTGGCCTCCACATTCACACTGTTCTTACAAGTCATTTACAAAGCGCTGTTTCTTCATGCAACGTTTACATGTGCCATCAACGATTGAACTGACAGAATGTCACAAATGAAATTTCACGGTAATTCACGCAGCCTGATTATGGAGTTTCGCAGCTTTCAGTGTAACAGTTGTTTGGATGAAGATGAGGCCTTTGGGTTTTCATGGACATGGTAGTGTACAGTCTAGGGAATAAAGGATGGCACAGTGCCATGGCAGAAATGTTCCAGTCCTCTTGCCCCATGCTCATTAGCAACATTTGTTAACATACAAATTCATGCAATTAAATAATAATTTTTGCCCAATCACATCAGTGTTATATCAGTATTATTTATTAATTTTTAATTAGCTTTTATTTTCTTTATGTTCAGTGTTTTTATTTTAATTGTAGTTTTAGTTTTGTAATTATGTACTTTTGTCATTTTTATTTTTCTATTATTTCTGTTTAGATTTAATTAATTATTAAGTTTTAGTAATTTTAGTACTTCAACTTTTTTTAACACGACATTTCTCATTTTCAGGTATTTTTATTTACTCACCCTCAGGCCATCCAAGATGTAGATGAGTTTGTTTCTTCATCAGAACAAGTTTGGAGAAATGTAGCTTTACATCACTTGCTTTACAATGGATCCTATGCAGTGAATGGGTGCCATCAGATGATAAAAACATCACAATAGTCCACAAGTAATCCACACAACTCCAGTCCATCTGTTAAAGTCTTGTGAAGCGAAAAGCTGCATGTTTGTAAGAAACAAAACCAGGGTGTTTTAACTTTAAACTGTAGTTTAAATATGAGTCCATAATCCATAAAAACTCCATCCTCTGTTGTCCTCTCACATCAAAATCCACTGATATATTTGTTTAGAACTGTTTTGGACTTTCGCTTGTAAACGGTGCTTTAATTGTTCATATTTCTCTCCTAATTCAGACATAACGACTCGCTGGAGAAAGCAATATTATGGACAGAGGACTCGTATTTTAGCCAGAACCATTTTGTTTAAGTTAAAAACAAATTAGTGATGGATTTGTTTAGTACAAACATGCAGGCTTTTGCTTTAAAAAATGTAACTTGTGGATTATTGTGATGTGTTTTTTTTTATCAGCTGTTTGAACTCTGATTCTGACGGCACCCATTCATTGCAGAGGATCCATTGGTGAGCAACCGATGTAATGCAGTAGAATTCTATTTATAACTTTATAGAATGGCTGAGTGTGAGTAAATTTTCAGCAAATTTTTATTTTGGGGTGAACTATTCCTTTAAAAATATATTTTTAATAGTTTTACTTCCTGGCGGAAGCTTTAAGATAATATACAGGTAAAATAAAAAGTAACTTAATGTGTCTAATATTTAGACACCTGATAGCCACCCAGAACAGCTTGAATCGACCTGGTACTAACAACCTAGCAACCACCCAGTTAAGCACTCAGAGCACCTTAGCAACTGCATAGCAATGCCCTGGCGACCACACACACCAAACTACATTGTGGTAGTGAGTGCACGCACAACCCATATTTTCTTCAGAAAATGCAAAATAAGCAAGTTAAGAGCCACAATTTTGTCAGGGGATTTTTTTGTTTTTGCGTTTTATTTGATAGAAAAGTAGTAAAGACAGGAAGCAAAGTGAGAGAGAGAGGGGGGATGGGATCGGGAAAGGTCCACGAGCCGGGACTCGAACACAAGACACCCGAAGCGCAACGGGACTACATGTCAACACGTATTTGATAGAAAAGTAGTAAAGACAGGAAGCAAAGTGAGAGAGAGAGGGGGGATGGGATCGGGAAAGGTCCACGAGCTGGGACTCGAACACAAGACACCCGAAGCGCAACGGGACTACATGTCAACACACTGCCCATGAGGCCATCGATTAAAAGTTGTGCTAATATATTCTTGTGTCGCAACTTTTAAGAAAATTAGTAAAGTAAAAGTTATTTGCCTACATTAGACAACCTCAAATGTTTGACTTTCTAATTAACACCTGTGCCCTATCCCTTCACCCGAAGAATCTCCAGATGCTTCACTTTGGCATTGATCCATCATGATTCGTCCCGACTTATCAGTGCTGTTGACTTATCAGTGCCTCAGCTAAATCATTTGGCATGGGTATTAGGCCGAAATGACATGCATCCAATCCTGTGTGACAAGAGGCGAGTTGTCAGCCTGTGGATGTGGCGACCAACGAGTGGCTACAGTTGGACCTGTGTTCTCGAAAGCCAGTGAAGTGGAAACCTCCACACACTATACTCTTGGGAACTGCAAATCTGCTTTCAGAATCCTTGCACTGGATGGAAATAGACAGGCATTTCAAATGTACACTGTCTAAATCACTTACTGGTTTTTGTAGCTGGGTGAGCTTTGGAGAGATAGAAATGACCTTTTGGGATGCTATGACCGGTCACTGACCCCTGTTCACACATACAGCGTCTAGGAGTCTTTGAAAACATGTTGTCCATTAGGAACAGCTGTACTTATCAGTTAGTCCTCTGCTTGTCAATGTCACCGCACAGTGAGAAGTTCCTTCTGTTCATCAGTCAGGACGATTGTAGACTATTAACTGTCCCGTTCTCCTCTAGCCTCATCGATACCTCCTGCTGTAACAGAAACCTCTCACAGAGAAGCTGTTCTTTTCTGAGTGGACGTACGTGCCCAGGTCGGTCAGGAGTTTATATGTTGATATTGATGCCCCAAAAAGGTCAAATCCAAAAACAACAAACATGTGTATACTATTTATAACTGTGGATATGGCATTTGTTTACCAATACAAAAATGCTGGGTTGGGAACCATGATAGTATCAGACGGTAATACTGTGGTACCTTGATATATTCCGTGGTACAGAATGATTACCATATTTCTATGCTGTTTTTTACATGGTACTCAAAGGTACTTTAAAGAATGCCATGGTATTACCATGGAAAATGTCCAA